TGAGCTAGAGACCTAAAAGGGTAACAAAAAAAATTATATAAATATATTAGAAGCAAGAGGGAAGACCAAGAACAGAGTAGGTCTCTTACTCAAAAAGAAGAGGAAAACAATAACCAAAAATGTGGAGATTTCAGAAGTGCCAACTCAATACCTTTTTTTGGTGGAAAAACAAAGTTAATAGCAATTGGACATCTAACATAGTGAATGTCAGTGGAAAATGAGGTCGAAGCAGAGGCTAAAATAGGGAGAAAACAAGTTAAAAGTTAATGAGACAACTTGGATGTCTTCAGGTCATCAGGGCCCGATTATCTTCAAAAAGTCATGAAAAATGGGAGAGATTCCAAAGGACTGGAAAAGGGTAGTTATAGTGTCCATCTATAAAAAGGTAAACAAGAACAGCCCAGGGAATAACCAAGACACAAAAAGTAAAACTTCTGCTCATTCTGTACTGGAGTAATGTGTCCTGTTTTGGAAGCCACATTTCAGGAAATATGTTACAGTAAACTTCCGACAATCCGGCACCTTTAGGACCCAGGGGGTGCCGGATTATCAGATATGCTGGACTATCAGAAGGGGGGGCTATGAGGGGTCTGGAGTGCGGTGGGAGGGGATGCCACCCCAGATCCCTCATAGCCCCCCCCTTACGATAGTCAGGTTCTGCCCCAGGAGTCCCTGATTCAGCTGCTGCTGGTCAGTTTCAGCAGCAGCTGAATCGGGATGCCTGCAATAAAGCAGCTGGGGTGCTACAGGGTTGGTCCCGCAGCGCCGTCCTTTGGCGCTGCGGGACCAACCCGGCAGCACCCCAGCTGCTCTGCTCCCGGCTTCCCCGATTCAGCTGCTGGTCAGTTTCAGCAGCAGCTGAATCGGGATGCCTGCAATAAAGCAGCTGGGGTGCTACAGGGTTGGTCCCGCAGCGCCGTCCTTTGGCGCTGCGGGACCAACCCGGCAGGACCCCAGCTGCTCTGCCCCAGGGGTCCCCAAGTCAGCCGCTGCTGAAACAGATCAGCGGCTGATTCCAGGAAGCCCCGGCGGGCAGGGCTGCCAGACCAACCCGGCAGCACCCCAGCTGCTCTGCTCCCGGCTTCCCCGATTCAGCTGCTGGTCAGTTTCAGCAGCAGCTGAATGGGGGAAGCCTGTCCGGCTGCCCCAGCACTTCCGGGTTCCTGATGGTGCCGGACCATCAGGAGTCCCGGAGCATTGGATGCCAGACTAATGGAGTTTTACTGTATTAACTTTGGACTTAATAGTAAACAAAAGAGTTCCATTAAATACGAAATGTAGGATTTAAGAGTGAAAACAGATCCAAATTAGTTACTAAATTAAAATGAATAGAAAAAGCATAGCTAGTTCTAATCCACTCAGAAACTTGTTACATGAAATTTCTTACTCTAAATAGCTGTTCTTATTTCAAGTAAAAGTTCCAAATCAGAGTAAAAATTTTTGACTTGGGTCTCCAGCCTATCAGAGTTCAAGTATCCTCTTAGGATAGGTTAGGTAATTTCAAAGGCTAGCTGAATACAGAGGGCCGAAAGCTTCTTATTGCTTAAATAGACTTTTCCCCTAGGGCATCTTTTGTTTAGCATGTCCCCTTTCCCATGCTAAAACACCAGGTTCAAAATGGTGGTATGGTCACGTTTTTCTACACCAACCACTTTTTCGACTTACAGGACAAACAAACCTATTTACAGGTTGTTAAGTTGATCACCAAGACACTAGGCATTCAGGGCACCTTTAATGGATCTCTTTAGCATATTTTAAACTGGGGGCTACTCAACACCCAGTCCATGGGCCACATGAGGTCCGCAGCATGTTTGTTTGCGGCCCATGGTACGCCCTGGGTTTATGCCGGGCTCAACACATGGTCCACGGGAGGGATCCTTTGAACATGGCCTCCACTGGGAACACGCTCCACAATGGCAAGGCATCTCCCAGGCAGGGTGAGCACTGAAAAATGCAAGTGGATGGGCTGGCTGGAACAGACGAGTGCAGGGTGTTGGTGTTTCTAGCCCCCAAGGAGGAGGTGTCAGGATCACCGGGGCACTATGGGAAGTGATTTGTATTCATGCCCATAACTGTGAAAAGCTATTTGCATATATATATATATATGCAACTACACTTAAGCTGTGGACCTTGGCATGTGCTGTGAGTATTATTGTGGCCCCTGGGGCTTCCAAAGTTGAGTAGCCCTGTTTTAAACTATAAACAGATTCAAACTTCACATTTCTAACTTCACATACAAGAATGATACATTCACAAAAATAGGATATACAGATTCAGCGGATCGTAATTGTAAAATTGATACATCACATGACCTGATTTGCATAAGTATCTTTGAGTTATGCATCTTTATATTCCTAAGCCAATTTTCATAAGGCATGGGGATGAGGACTGTCACATCCAGAGAAAAGCAATAAAAATGTTTAAAATGTTTGAAAACATGACCTGTGGAGGAAGATTGAAAAAATTGGTATGTTTAGTCAGGAGAAGAGAAGACTGTGGTACACTATAATATTTGTTAAGTACATAAAAGATTGTTACAAGGAGGAGGGAGGAAAAATTGTTGTGCTTATCCTCTGATAGTACGTCAAAAATCAGTAGGCTTAAATTGCAGCAGGGGTGTTTTAGGTTGAACATTAGAAAACTTTCTGTCCGGGTGGTTAAATACTGAAATAAATTGCCTAGGGATGTTCTGGAATCTTTAATATCTCCAGTGATGCGAATCAGGTTAGACAAACACCTGTCAGGGATGGTCTAGATGATATTTAGTACTACGATGAGTTCAAGGGACTGGACTGGCTGACCTCTCAAGGTCCCTTCCAGTGTACAATTCTTTGATTCTGTGAGAAACACAGAAGGTTCTGTAACTTTGGTATACCTGTAAGTACTTAGAAGAGCTCCTTGTTACTGAATCTCCTTTCACATAAACAGCAGGTGAGTACAGCAGTTCTTTGTTACAGGGATGTGAATAACTAGTCAATGGCCTAGTCAACTAGACGCTCTCTCACCTCCCCTTGCTGCCTCTGAGAAAGAGGCAGCAGGGGGAAGGGAGGGGAGGGGAGAAGAGCAATGTGGCAGCACTGTGTGGAGCCAGGGGCCAGACCCCAGGCTCCACACAGCGCTGCCACTTTGAAACGCTGAATGCAGCCCGGGGCCAACTGGGGTGTCCCCAGGCTGCACGCGACTTTTCAAAGCAGCAGTGCCACATGGAGCCTGGGATCAGCTGGGGCTTCCCCCGCTGACCCCGGGCTCCGTGTGGCGCTGCTGCTTTGTAATGCCGTGTGTGGGCTGACGCTGGGCTCCCTGTTGCATTTCAAAGTGGCAGCGCCACGTGGAGCCTGGGTTCAGCTGGGGACACCCTGCAAATTGCATCGGCTATTCAATTAATCAATTACTTGAAATGTAACATCCCTACTCTGTTATTAGTTTGAGAACTGAAGATAAAAATACATCTTTTTGCTTGAAAGTTTTGAAATCTGTTTTATTGATGCCCTCTAATTGGTCCCTAAAAATGTGTTTATCTTGTATAATACAGTGGTTATGTGTAACAAGGCACTTTCCAATAAAGTTTTAGGTACACTTCTCTTCAGATTTTTCAGAAACAATTTTTTTTAAATGTTGTAGAATTCCTCAGGGTATCTTAAAATTCTTGTGCTTGTTGCAGTCTAAAATGTTCACAAACATTAGCTCTTTGTTTAGTTGAATAGCTTTACATAATATAGGCAAACATGACTACTGTCATAAGTTAAAGTTGTTGTTTTTTTTAAGGCTGGTGCAGCATGATAGAAATGAATTTCAAAGATGCATTTGAATCCTTTGAAAGGCTTAAAAATGAATCGAGATGGTCCCAGTGCTATTATGCCTACCTGACAGCAGGTTAGTATTTTTAGTGATCGAATTAATAGGGATGTATGGGGGGGGGGGGACAGATATTTGATTACAACCTGTGCGATAGTGGAAATTAATTGCACAATTGGAACTTTGACCCCTCCTTTTATATTGTCCATTTGAAAATGCTGTGGTTCAAATTTTGTAGAACGTTATAAGACCACCATTACCATAATTACTCAGTGTATTACAAACAATAATGAATTAATACACACAATACCCTAAGAGAGAAATATTGTTTTTCTCCTTTTACACATTGAGGAACTGAGGCACCAAGAAATTGACTTGTCAGATACCATACATAAAGCCTGTGGCAGCACTGGAATCTGTATCCAGTTTTTCTGAATTGCCTTTATCAAAATACCGTGCTTTTCCCTGCATAATGCCCTGTCTCTATTTGTCCCTCTCTTTCATATCCTGAAAGCTTTAGCAGAGTTTTTGTGTGTGTGCACTTTATTACAGTGTGTCAAGGAGCCACTGGTGATGTGGATGGTGCACAGAATGTATTCAAGGAAGTTCAGAAGCTTTTCAAAAGAAAAAACAATCAAATTGAACAATTCTCAGTCAAAAAGGTTTGGTTGGCATGTATTGTCACTTCAGTACAGTAACTACAATGGACAATTATTCCAGGATTTGGAACAAAATATCTTTTTTTTTCCCCTGGTATTAACTTGGCGAGGAAAAATGAATAGTGCTTTATAGTTTAATAAGCTACGAACAGAAAAATGGTTGGTAGCTTGCAACTAAGCTTGGCTTACACAATTATCCAGAGAAAAAAAATACTGTGGTACTAAAGCTGCAGCTCTAGTCTTTCTTCCAGCTTCATTTTTCCTACTTCATTTTACTCTGATGTGCATGTAGTTAGCTCATTCTGAAAGTAAGTCCTAAAGAGCTGCAAACTAAATTTTCACATCCTGACAACTTTAACACTGTTACTTGCTTTAATGAAAACATCAGAATTACTGTTTTTGACTCTTATTTGTCTCTTCACCTGAGAGGAATTTAGCACTACTATGTTTGCTGTTTTCAGGCAGACAGATTCAGGAAGCAAATACCAACCAAAGAGCTCTGTGTTCTGGCATCTATTGAAGTGTTGTATTTATGGAAAGCCCTTCCAAACTGTTCCTTTTCTAATCTTCAGCATATGAGCCAAGGTAGGATGCTTCCTTGGCTATGTTTTTCAGTCAGATAATATCTCTTTCTTTTTTATCTCTTTCATGAAGACTAGGTGATTGCAACAGTAAGAAGGCCAAAATATGTATGGACGCTTGATGAGTGAGCTAAATTATTTGGATAGTTATGGAAAAGGGCATGCATTAGGATTCAATTTAACACTTATTTTTAAATACAAGGTGACACTAGGAAGGAAAGAGCTAAAAGAGTTGACATTCATAACATCTTTTAAGTTTAAAATCCAGTGTATTGAAGATAATTGTATTACTTTGACTTTGTTGATTGACTTTTAACCTAGCCACAAAAGAAACCAAAAACCACAGTGATCTATTTTTGTTTAAATTATCCTCTAAGTGTACATAACTTCCATAAATATTTGAAGATTAGAGAGAGATAGTTAGACAGGAAATTGTAACGATTATAAATCACTCTAAATCACTCAACAGTGAAAGGTGTGTGTATATCCACACGTTCACTCTTTCACAACTCACAATTCTCTCCCCCTCCCCCTTAAAAAGTAGCAGTAATGGTGATATCCATGTGTAAAATTACAGAACTGTGTAAATGTATCATGCATCTTTGACCACCTCTCTGCCTATTGATCAATTTCCCTTAGGATTTCTGTGCAGCTTCAAATAATTCCTCTTAAAAAAAATCCACCCACCATTGAAAGATCTCTTCCTTCCACCTCTACATAGTGAATTTCTATGCATGCCACATATGCACTCAACACTTTGGAAATTATGTCTGCTGGAGGCCCACAGGCCTACCCCAGTAATAGTTTTTCTATCTATGAAAATAACTTTAAAGTACCTTAATTCATACCCCTGCAGGAGTGTTATACTTTAGAAAGGGGAACAATTCAGATCTTCAATCTTCTAGTTCTGGAAGGAGCTATAAAGATCTTTAAATAAAAAATTGTTTTTGTCTAAAAATAAGTTTCTAGAGGACTTTTTGTGGGTGCTTTTTAAAAATAGCTCCATCTGTGCTCTGTACATTTGGACTTCTAGGTGCTAAGGCATCTGGTTCTTATAGTACACATATATGAAAAATATTTCCTATACAGGTTTTATAAAAGCTTTTCTGAAATATAGGTAGCACATGCGGAATAAATTCACTGTGCTGTATGATATTAAGGTTCTTTTAGCATGTGATTATATTCTGCTCATACCTCATGAATAACCCAATATTCATGCTGATATAACCTTTAGATCACATTAGTTTATATTCTTGTGATATATAAATGTTAGTGTTTCTAATGTCTGTTAATTTTTGTAAAGCATCTAGAGCATAAGGTGGACACTCAAAATACATTGAAATAATAAATACTAAATCTTGTTTCCCTCACTAACATGTTTCCCACACTTCTGAAAGCTAAGCCTTGTTTATTTCAGGAAAATAAAAACCTATTGTGCTCCCCCTGCAAACTTACCATGTGGTGTTAAAGGCCTACCCATAATATATGCATACATGTCCCAGTCCCATAATGGGAAACTATATAGATCTACATAATATGGATACTTCTTTTTTCTTACATGGTCTATTGAACAGTGAAATGCATGGTGCATTTCACATCTCAGACATTCAGTTTGAGGGTCTATGTAAACTCAGGTAGATATGTCTGCATTATTACCTTGACGTGAAGTGAGTCTGTTTTCCCAGTCATAACCAGTATTGCTACCCCCAAACATTCAAATATCATTATCAAGCCCCAAAAGTTCTGAGTTTTAAATAAAACAAAAATGGTCTATTTTAATTTGTCTTCTGATTGTGAGCTGTTAAAGTTCACTTGAATTACATTTTCAAGCTTTCTCTATGACATGAGGGCTAGAAAATTACTCTTGATTTAATTACCACTCAGCTTAAATGTGGGGATGTGTTGATGCAAACACCAAATGCCACAAGACTCAAGAGGAAAGTGCAACAATTGGCAGCATCGTATAACATTGAGGGTACCTGTACACCGCACGCTAATTTCGAAATAAGGTATTCCAGAATAGTTAGTTTGAAATAGCACGTCTACACTGCAGAGAATCCTCAAAACTAGTCTGAGGTAGGCTTCCCTAATGTAGACATGCTATCTCGATTTAGAGCCACAGGAGGCACTGGGGAGGAATAACTTAGAATGGCTTTGGTGACAGGCTGTTTTGAAATAGCAGCAGTGGCGCATCTACACATGCCTTATTACGAAATAGCTATTTTGGAATAGGTGTTATTCCTCATAGAATGAAGTTTACAGATTTCAGAATAATCCATCTGCTATTTTGAAATAATTTCGAAATAACTGTGCCTTTGTAGGCTCTCGCATTGTTATTTTGAAATAAAGCTAATTATCTTGAAATAACTGTGCAGTGTAGATGCACCTCTAGAGACTTACTGTCTTTAAAAAAAATTTGAATCTCAGATTCTGGAGAACATTGAGGAATGCTGTCCACTCCTCCAAGCAGTCTTGTGCACCCTGCATTTTGTGAAAAACTGCACGACTGTGTTCTGTTTTATGTAGGTTCTTGTACTGTGCTCATCACCATAGTGTCTTACTGCCCTCCTGGAGTGCATCAAGCAATATGACTAACTTCTGTCATGTGTTGTTTGGTCTCCTGTCTCCTCTAGTTTGGGAGGAGTGTGTGCAGTGGAGTGTATTATTTTGGTAGGATTTTTTAAATATGCATGTTGCTGTGCATTTATATTCGAGACGGTGCAAGGTCTAAGAAATGTGCCTTGCATTTGGAACAGAGGCTTGATAGAGTTGCCAGGTGTCCGGTTTTGAACTCAGTCTGGTATTTGAGCTTTCTGTCTGGAAAACAAATTGAGACAATACCAGACATAAAAATGTCCAGTATTTTCTGATTAAGTAAGTTTTATTTATTATCATGAGTATCAGTATGTAGTTGTGTACTGCCTGGCTGGTAGACACACTCCCACTGCATCAGTACACAACCACACAGTGGGGGGGAGGGACTGGGGCGGGATGGAATCCCCGGGGCTGGACTCACCTGTGCGCCCCACCGGGACTATGCATGGGATGGGCAGCACCCCGAGATCTGCATGTGCCAGGGCCAGCCCCGTTCCCTGCCAGCCAGTTCTCCCTCTCCCAGCCAGCCCCACTGCCCCCAACCTCCTTCCAGCCAACCCTGCTTCTCACCAACTTCCCCTCTCCCAGTATCCCCCAGCCAGTCCCGCTCCCCTCCTGGCCGGTTCTCCCCCACCCCCAATCTGAGATCAAGTGTGTCCGGTATTTTTTTGAAAGCATCTGGTAACCCTAGAGGCTTATTAGTTCTTAGTTCCAGAAGATTTCATTGATTTCAGTGGGGGTACTCCTGTGAGTAAGAATTATTCACATGACTAAGGGCTTTCAGTAACTGAACTCTCCTAAAAATGTTATATTAAATAAAACAACTCTGTAAAACCATTTTATTGTTTTAAATGTTTTTACATATTTGACTATTTACCTGCAGTTTACTTTTTTACAAAAGTAAAAATAAAATAGAGTTGAGATATTTTTGTGCTGTAATAAATATATTCATTTTTGTGGATGATATGCATCATTTTATTTAAAACAAAGGTGATTGAGAGGAAGTGAACATTAAAGCTATAGATTGGCTATTTCTAGTTACAATTAAGATACAGAAATGAGACACTTTCTAATCCAATTTTTTGAAAAAAGAATACACTAAAAAGGCACGTTTATTTTAATGTGAGTGTAATATATTTAAAAGTTTAATTTGATTTTTTTGCTTAGCTTGTCAGGAGGTTGATGATTCATCTTCTGTCGGTTTGAAAAATTTGCTTCTTGGTGCCATACATAAATGCTTAGGAAATTCTGAAGATGCTGTTCAGGTAAGTTGTTACAAGTACAGTAATGCTGCACCCAGTTGTCTTTATAAATGGCCCCATTCCTGATGAAGACCAAATGTATGTTTGTCAATGCTACAGATACATTAGGTGAATGATAGTAGAGGCTAAGTCTTTTCAGAGTACTCTGTGAAATATGTATCCCTGGATTTCAAATTATATGCAGGTAAAAGGCTAAGAGCCAGGCTTCAGTGACATCCCATTTTCTCTTAAGGGCTAATGTTTAGCAACATTTATTTAGTTCTAGTTTACCCCCTAAATGTCTTGTAAGAGCCCAGTAATCAGTGGAAGTGTTAGTTATGCTGCTAGACAATATTGACCTCCTGTGATTTGGCATATTCTCTGGTTCTGCACCAGTCAGATCCCGAACAGGCTGGATTAGAGAGGTTAAACCTGTAATTTTAATGTATAAACATTGATTTTCTCTTACAGTTTTTTCAGCGAGCTGTTAAAGATGAACTGTGCCGTCAAAACAACTTATACATTCAGCCGTATGCTTGCTATGAACTTGGCTGTCTATTGTTGGACAATCCAGAGGTAATAGTAGAGTACATCTTGAATTTTTGGAAATGAAAAAGGGGGCCACCTATGACTGCTTTAAACAAACAATGAAAATGTGTTATTTTACAAGTGATCAGAGTTTAAGAGTTAATTTGAATTTTCCACTTCATATATAAAGAATTGCTTTAATTTTATGTCCTTAGTGTGTCGGATAACATATTATTGTCTAGGTGGTGATATCCTATAGAGATTAACATACATCATACAAAGTTCACACTGTGACATTTGCAGGGGCTTTTTGTAAACCTGTGATGCTATACTAATGACATGTTTCAATACTGCTTATTTTTAGCTATTATAATAATAAATATGGATCTGACTTTGGCCAGGAGAGCTGCATTGAAGCATTTTCCGTCCTGGCCATGAGGCTGACACTCTAGCAGTAAGATCAGTGGAATCACTCCTAGTTGCTGTCTTTTGGATAGCTGAAGTTTAAAAAAAAGAACGTTAATTGAACAACAAAAATGATTGAAGCAAGAATATTGGCAAGCTTGATTAGTTCTGTGTCAGAATAAACATCTTTAAGGATTGTCTATATAGATATATATCCCCCAGTCTTGAAATTAGTACATGCCTGGCTCATGAACTCATAATCTTCTGGAAGCTATTTTTATTGGGGCCACCCATTCCCATGTCTTATTTCCATGCTAGATTGAAGAGCCCATTATTGAATATTTGTTATCCAGGTAGATACTTACAAACTATAGTCAAGTCACCCCGTAACCTTTTTGTTAAACCTACTGGATTGAGCTCTTTGAATCTGTCACTGGGAGGTATGTCTTCTAATCCTTTAATCATTCTAATGACTCTTCTCTGAAAGCTCTTCCGTTTATGAGCACCAGAACCTGGGCAGTTTTTCATTGGTGGGTCAGCAGTGCTAAATACAGAGGGCAAAGAACATTCCTTCTCTACTTGGGATTCCCCTTCTGTTTCTCAGGATTACAATAACTTTTTCCCCCACAGTGTCACACTGGGAGCTCATGTTCAGCTGATTACCCACTATGTCTCCAACTCCTTTTCAGAATCACTGCTTTCTAAGAGTCCTTCCCTCCATTATATAAATCTGATTTATATTTTCTGTTCATTTACAAGTAGCTGTTTTAAAATATTTACTGTTTGCAAAGTGGTTGAATTCTACCAACCGATCCAAATTGCTCTGCATAAGTGACCTGTTCTCTTTTTATTTATCATTCCCCCAGTGTTTGTGTCATCTAAGGTCTCAAGCTTCATTTTTCTTTCTTTGCATATCTGAAAATGTGATTGTCAGTGAAAATATTTTTTGTGTGTGTGGTGAAATTGACATTTACTGACATTGACCAATAAAAATCTAATCCTTCCAAGCCTAATTATGATATAGTCTAATTATGAATTATGTGCTCACTTGTTATCTTTTCCATGGGACCCCTGTCTTGGTAGGTGCACAGGCCTAACTTTTAGAAGCTTGACTTTTCAATTCTAATATTTGTAGATATGTTTTGGATGTTATAGATACATCTTTGTCACCTTATTTCTTTGGAGTCTCTTGTGAAGAGATTTGTGAATTAGAGGAATTAACTGATGATTGTAACTGCTCACCATTTTATACCATCAGAACTAGACATGGGGGTAAGTGGATCCCAGCATACAGTGCTTCCTAGAAGATAGAGTTCACAGCCAAAGAATATGCGTGCATATCCCACAAGTGTGGATCATCTTTAGTTACTTACTATATGATTCTCAGAGGTTTAGATCTCATAAAAATAAACTCTAGAAATCAACTTGGGACATAGAAGAAAGAATTAAACATACTGAAATTAATGACTGAAAGATTTTTATCATTTTTGCAATTTATCATAAAAATAATTTTCATAAAAATTTACTCTCCAATTTAAAGTTACTCAGATTTAACAAGTAAAACAATTTTTAATCTGAATTAACATTTTTAAACTCATCCATTCATCAAGCCCTCATAAGAGACTAAGATCAGTTTGTGCAAGACAGACTTCATAGATAATATTTGTATACACTGTTAAATGCAGCTATACTATTTAGAAATAAAAACTTCAAATATTTAAGGTATTTATATTCAGAAAAAATTAATAAGACTCATCTGAATCATTTTAATCTTTCTCAGTATCTTTTTATGGCATAGAAAATCTTCTGTTATATAAGATTTAAAATAAAAGAGCACGTGCATCTAACTGGGGAATAGAGTAGAAGCCTTCAAATCCAGAGATTCAGTTGAAAATATCAACAAATTTTTCATAAATTTGAGTAACCTTTGCTATGTCAAGAAAAATCGCTCATTATTGAAAAACAAAATATTCCTTTTTCTCTTCCAGATCATTCTAATAAGGTCTGTATTTATTCCATGATTATTATTGCAGAAGCGCAAGTTGTATGAAGTATAGAAATCTTCCGGTATTTCCAAAGATGGGATTCAAGTAAATAAACTGAAATAGATAAGAAAAAACAATTAAAACTGGAAATTCTTCAGAAAGCTCAGTGAATAATTGGTGTATTTTTGCAAGTTGAATTGGTCAAAAGGAGTAAATTTGAAATTCTTAAACTTTGGTGCTTTCATTGTATAATGTATTTCACTATAGTGCTCATAGTTCTAAAGTAGATTTTATTTCTTCTTTAAAGTAGACAGAAGAGTATAGATATAGAAATACATACTGCAGGACCAGTTGGGTTCTTTGTTAGGAGCTGTAAACACTTAGGATACGTCTAAACTACATGGCTCCGTCGACGGAGCCATGTAGATTTGTTTTTTTGGCAAAGGCAAATGAAGCCGCGATTTAATTGATCGCGGCTTCATTTACATTTACATTTACATGGCTGCCGCGCTGAGCCGACAAACAGCTGATCAGCTGTTTGTCGGCTCGCACGCTAGTCTGGACGTTCCCCCTGTCGACATCAAAGCCCTTTGTCAGCATCCCCGGTAAACCTCATTCCACGAGGAATAACGGGGCTGCCGACAAAGCGCTTTGATGTCGGCAGGGGAGCATCCAGACTAGCGTGCTGAGCGGACAAACAGCTGATCAGCTGTTTGTCGGGTCCGCCGACAGAGGCATGTAGTCTAGACACAGCCTTATAGGGCATAGTGTTTACTACTCTGAGTAGTCCCAGTAAACACCATGTCCAGTAGTATTTACAAGGTTGAGACCTTAGTTCTTGTTGACTCACCATTATACTTTAGAAGATTCTTTCTTTTCTGCCATGTGTATGCTCTCCAAAAGTGATATTTTCTTCTTTTTCTAGACTGTGCCAAGAGGCAAAATCTTACTTCTCCAGGCAAAGGTAATAAACCAACACACCCTAATCTGCTGCCCTGCAGTTAAGTGCATTTAAGAGTTCAGCTTGTGGTGCAGGTTTAATAGGGTTGCTATCTATCACCAGTGTCCTATAACTTTATACGTAATGGAACTAGTCCTTCCACTCATTGCATTGGGATTTCCTGGAGCTTTTGGACATGTACAATTTCCCAGTTATTGTGCAAGCCTTTAATAGACAAGTAGACTGGTTTCTGCTTGCACTTGGGAGGCAGAGGAGAACCTCCTGTCCCTTCTTTCAATTGGTGGACTGTGCTGGGTGGAAATCTCTCTACCAGCATCATTGCTACTTTTGTTCTAGTTACTGTTTTGTAGCTTGGTGACTTCTTAAGCACCTTGAACCCCTGAGGTGGATGAGGTTAATATTGTATGTATTTTGTATTGCAGGAGGAATTCACTGGATATGATTTTGAGAACAGATTGCATGTCCGCATACATGCAGCCTTAGCCTCTCTGAAAGAAGTGGTTCCACAGTGACAGATGGGAATTCATTACATATCCTTTCCCATAGTTCCGCACTTTAAGATAAAGCAGAGGATAAAGCTTTTGAGAAGATTGGCTTTTCTTCTGAATACCACTGTGCCAGAGACACTTTCCTAGAATGTTGAGATTGGTGTTGTGTAGTAAAAGTATTACAATCTTAATAATTAAAAATAAAATAAGTCAGCCAGAGGGAGAGGGTTAAGTGATGTTGTGTTTTAACTCTTCATTTAGTTTAAGCCAAGCTGAACATGTGTAGTTTGTGATTGTGCAGGTAAGGCTACAATAAGCACATATCTAATTTACTGGAACAACATTGGCTCAGTTTTGACAAGTATAATTTACCAATTTAAATATGTCTAAAAGATGTTTTCTAGGGAGAACCTCCTGTTTGATAAAAATAATACCATATAAATAACTGTTGGAAAATTGTAAGTTATCAGAGATCGACAGAACTTTTTTCCTTCAAAAGCCAACGAAAAGGAGGGGCACAAAAGAAAACTGTTCAGCCAGGACAACAGCCAGTTTGTTCATTATATTTACTGAGTTAATCCAATGTCTTTATGGTGCATAATATGTGTGTATTTTAGAAAACTTTCACTCATTATTGTGATAAATTATGAACATTTTAGGGTCTTTTCTTCTGATATTTTCCCGCCAAATATTTTGTTTTATTAATATTCTAAATGGTGCAGTGGCCTGCTAGGCTGTATGTTACAAGACTTAGCATATTGTTTCCCACTCAAGTTGCTAAATCTTGTAAGATAAGGCAGTAACCTTAAAAAATAATCTTTATTTTTAAGCAAGGATGTCTTACTGAATAGTATCACTTCACTTCCTTCCATATATGGTACTCTAAACCTCAGGTGTTTAAAGTATTCATATACCTCAGTCAGCCTAAGAATATTGACAACCATATAACTTTAAAAACATGGCCAAATGTGTAATAATACTGTAATCTGTTTGTCAATCAGTGATACTCACTGTCTTTTTATGTTGTGTCATTTTTTTAGTATAATATTTTATGGAGATACACATTTTGTTTATCAAAAACCTGGCCGGAATAATAGCTGCTTTGTATAACTGATGACTGGATTTCCTTGGAAAAGGTTACCTTCACACCTTATCTTTGCTCTGGCCAGATTACTTTAAATGTTTCTCTAGTGTTTCTCTCTCTCTCTCTCTCTCTCTCTCTCTCCCCTGAATGTTTTCAAAATATAGTCCACATCTCACCTGTGAGGGTTTGCTTTAGGAGTTGCATTTCAGTCCTTGTCTATAGTTACCCAGAGATCAGTACTGCTGGAGAGTGACCTTCTGGGGTTCGATTTAGCAAGTGTAGTAAGGACTCGCTAAATTCAGTGCTGATACTCCCTGACCTCCCATAGCTGTCTGCCACAAAAATTTGATTTAAAGTACATCGGCTCCAGCTATGCTATTTTTGTAGCTGAAGTTGCATATCTGAAGTTGAATTTCTCCCCCAGTGTAGACCTGGACTCAAATGTTACCTAGTATTTGGGGGGTGGGAAATAATGCTCTGAATTCTTTAGACAGGGAGAAAACAGAAAAGATTAACAACCTTTGCTTTCTAACTAGAAATACAGAATTCCCACTGTTAAGGATTTAGTTAGGAGTAGTCCAAGCTCCCCTTTCAATTGTAACCTTGATTGTGATTTAAAAGTGAGCTTAATATACTTTAATTATTTTTATTTCTGATTTATCTGCTTTTTGTTTTTTAATCAAGGATATACTCCACTCTGGATAAATAGCAAATGAGTAACTTTACTTTACCCACGGATTTCTTATAGTGCACCATTTGAACTGAACACAACAACACACCGTCCAGAACACAAAACTCCTGCATTCACTTAGTGTTGGGATGTGAAGGGTCTGGATAACCAAGTTGTACAGTAGAGACAGTATACAAGTAGGTTTACCAAATGGCCTACTCCTGTCACCGGGCCTGTGGAGTTGGAGTGGTATGGAAACAGACTTATCACATTATGTATTCATATACAACACCTAAGCTCTGTGCAAGTTTCAGTTTCTTCAAGGAGTCAGAAAATTATCACTGAAGTGGAACTGTTTCTGTATTTTTCTCCCCTCATAGGAGAATATCCTTATTTGTAAATGTCAGTTATTTTTATATTAGATTATGCCTGTGATGAGAACAATCTCAACTGTATTTTATGTAACTTGAATGAGTTTTTATATTTTAGAGCTCGGAGGCATGGTCTAATAGCAATAATGCAATATGCATCTTCCTGGTGAATATGTTTAATATTTTATCTTTATTGAGTCAGGTATTTTTTGGTGTTTACACAGTTTTTTATCTCATTATGGCTCATTTCAAGTAAATAACCAGAATTTTTAGATGTCACCAAAAATAAGATTATTTATTGTGATGTACTGTAAATGTCATTAATTTACAGAACTTGCACTTTTATATTTCTGCTCATAAAATTAAAAGAAAACACAAATCCTATTGTTCTCTTGCTCTTTAAAATTACACTTAGTGAGTGGCTTCCTAAATACAAAGATATGAAGTATTCATAAACATCCAGGATGTTAACTGTGTAACAAAGTTTTTTGGTCAGCAGTTATCTCATCCTCTGTTCTTTCATCATGGTTTTAGTCTTCTGGTTTAGAAAGTGGGTTACGTATTGAGCTCACTTCATGACATGGACATGAAGATTTGACATGAATTGTAAAGACCTTAATTTTATTCTCCCTAAAAATCTGTACCCACAGTATTTCTTCGTTTTCCAAAAATGTCTCTAGTTTTCTCTCAAGTGAGCACATTAATTTCTTCCTTTGCTGACTTTAGATGCTACTTTTGTATTCTAGCCATGCTTGGTTCTTCAATAAAATTCCCAAAACCTATTATTGAATTGCCTGTCAATTTTCCAAATATAGTCCCGTCTAAAGAGCTTATTGGACATTTTCTAAGTTTTCAAAATTATGTTCCAGATTCCAAATGCAAAGCAGTATGTTGGTAGTGCCACACAATACACACATTTTAATACTGAGGTTGTGACAGGGTTAGCTGTCCATGAAATGGCTGCACAAACCACCTCCCTTTACAGTAATGATGACAAATCAAAATCCCTGTAACAATAACAGTTATTGCCAACAAGGAAAATATATGTAATGTATGTTTAGCTGTCTTTAATTTATTAGTTGGAGATCAGCAGCCAGCGCCATCTGACCAGCCAGCTATTCTGGAACCACCAACAGTGCTCTATATGCCACAATTTGGAAATCTCTTACATACTAGACTCCACTAATCTTTAACTGTAAGAAGCAAGAAATAAATATACTCTGTGGGCCAGAGCCTCATAAAAATGAATAGAATGCGAGTCTACTCGGAATCAATGGAATAACTTCATTTATAACAAGGTCTGATTCTAGCCCGTTATGTTGCATGCACAATCAAAACATGGCATAATAAGCAGTCTGTATACTGATAGGTGAATCACTGGGACTTGTCCTGGTTTTTCTGAATTGCATGCACCTGTATAATTTTAATCTATGTCAAATCAATGAAACAATAGTAAAAAATTACTCAGCCCTGAACAACTATGTCCCATTTTGGTGCCCATAATTCAAGATGGTTGTTGATAAATTAGAGACTAATCAGAGAATACCCATCACAATGAATAAAGGGTTAGAAAACATATCTTATGGTGATACTTAACAAGTTCAGTCTGTTTAGTTTAACAAAGAGATGGTTAATGAGTGACACGATTAGTATTTAAATATTTATATGGAGAACAAATATTTAATAATGAGATTTTCAGTCTAACAGAGAAAGTAATAGTAATTCAAGAGTTAGAAGTTGAAGCTAGCAAAGTCAAACTGGAGATAAGATGTAAATTTTAATGGTACAAATAGATTAACCATTTATCAAGGGTTGTGGTGGACTGAACATCACTGACAATTTTTAAATCAACATTGGCTCTTTTTATTCCTAAGAGTTCTGTACTAAGAATTATTTTGGGGACATTCTCTGGCCTGTGTAGTACAGGCAGTCCCCGGGTTACGTACAAGATAGGAACTGTAGGTTTGTTCTTAAGTTGAATCTGTATGTAAGTCAGAACTTGCATCCAGATTCAGCCGCAGTTGAAACTGATCTGTTTCAGCAGCGGCTGACACCAGTTCCGACTTACATACAGATTCAACTTAAGAACAAACCTACAGTTCCTATCTTGTACGTAACCCGGGGACTGCCTGTACTACACAGGCCAGAGAATGTCCCCAAAATAATTCTTAGTACAGAACTCTTAGGAATAAAAAGAGCCAATGTTGATTTAAAAATTGTCAGTGATGTTCAGTCCACCACAACCCTTGATAAATGGTTAATCTATTTGTACCATTAAAATTTACATCTTATCTCCAGTTTGACTTTGCTAGCTTCAACTTCTAACTCTTGAATTACTATTACTTTCTCTGTTAGACTGAAAATCTCATTATTAAATATTTGTTCTCCATATAAATATTTAAATACTAATCGTGTCACTCATTAACCATCTCTTTGTTAAACTAAACAGACTGAACTTGTTAAGTATCACCATAAGATATGTTTTCTAACCCTTTATTCATTGTGATGGGTAGTCAGACTAGATCATCTCCATGATCCTTTTTAGCCTTGGAATCTCTGAATCCCATTTACAAGATACACTAGAAAACAATGCAACTGTTTTAAGAAAAACCAAAATCCTGTAACAGTGTTTGCAAATTGATATTCTGTCTGAATGTTAGTTCAGCCACTCCACCCAATAGTAGTGCTTCCAGGCAACTGGTAATTTACTGTGCATTTTAAATGCCTATGTGCTCAGATATACATAGGCATGTTACATCATCTGCTTGGGAAAACATATACTTCCTCATAGACTAGAGGAATATCCCTTACAGTTCTGTGTATTGTCTTTGTTAGCAGAGTATGTGTTCACAAAATGCTTGGCAGCAGTGATCACACACATATATAGAATGAGGGTATTTTGCTGTGATGAGACTGATCAAAGAGAGCCCCCTGCAAGATAATAGGGGGTTAGTCATCAATGGAAATTATATTTAGTTGGTTTATATATGGTGAAATTAACATTTGTCAACATTTCCAGATAAAAATCTAATCCTTTCAAGCCTACATACATTGTATTGGAAACACATTCCTTCTCCATCCACTAATACCATTTGATGTAATATTCCAAATAAAATACAATAGTCAAGTGGGAAAAATCCTTTTGTGCTTTAACCAGTAAAGTTTAATCTTTGAGGTTCATAGCTTTCAACATCTGATCTCAGACACCCAATGTACCTCTTTCCGCTCCAACGTATGATACCGTTTTCTGGGGCCTAACTCCTAAAAAGGTAGAAGATGAAATCTGAAGTGTTTTTGAAAAAGATGTCTCATCTCATTCTAATTGTTCAAGAGTCTATCAAAAAGACTGTTACAAATAGGAAAAGTTTAGTTACAAGATGCAAAAGGTGTCAGAGAGTCATGCTCCCCTCAAAAACTGCTCTGTTGCCTTCTTCATTTGTCATGGTTAGTGGGGGGGAAAACAACCTCAAATCCATTTGTTTACTGTTTTGGCCTTTAATATATTGATAATAAAGCTGTTTCTCTGCAGTTTCAAGTTGTCAGGTTCATTAGGGGTTGTGAGACAGTTAAACCATTCCCATTTAAATAACTTAGCAGATGTACCTGGCCGGTGGTGCTCGGGTCTGAAACACAAGTTTTTTTTTGAAAATAAAAGGAAAAAGTGCATGGATTATTTAAATGATTGTGTTTTTTTAAAAATACAGTGTTATTTTTATGAAGTAAATATTTTGGGATTTCTTTAAAAAGGGATTGTTTAAATTTTTTCAGTTTTATATTTTTAGTAATATTTTTATAAGGGAATTCCATAAAGTGTATTTTTTCTTCATCCCTATAAACTCATCATTTGTATGTTTTAACAAAAAAGGGCTATACTCAGTTTGGTTTCCAATAACATTTTCTTTTAGTTTTCAGACCTAAAGCATTGATTTAGTTGTGCCCAAACAGAGCACTACTCCAAATTTCTCCATTTTATCTATTTTTCTGTAAGGTTTTTGAGAAGCAATCCTATTGCAGATTCATCCTATTTTTCTGGCTGATCTTGATTCCATCTCTTCCAACATTCGTTCAGGTACATCAATTGTGAGAATTGTACTTGATTTGATGATTCTGTCTCTTTCCTGTTTGGTTTTTTGAGAAGCAATCACATTCCAGGTGTGTCCCTTTTCTCTGGCACAACCAAACCCTTGTGTTGCTTTAAGTTACAAGAGGAAGCTGTATACTGAATTTGGTGGTCCTAGCTCTCACCGTTTAGGAGGAGTTCTTGATCAAAAAGACAAACTCTCTAAAATAGTAATGGTTAATGTCTTAAGCAGATACTTTTGAACAAGTTTTACACTGAAGTTAATTTGGGGGGGGGATAGAAACTTCACTGTGTACAAGTAAACATGAGACCATAATGTCCAGTCCAATTTATGCTAAACTCTTCAAGTAAAAGTGCTATGGTGGATTTATCCTTGGCTCTTTCCAAAGGCAGTGATGGAGTTCTACATAAGTGAATCACTTATCCAGATTTTTTTCCTGTGTTCTCAGACTCAAAATGGGTGAATGTTTGCTCTTGACTGAAAGTCTCTGAAAATCCATCCAGCTTTTTGTTTCAGGTTATGCTAAAAAGTGTTGCTGTTTCCAAGAGGATTATGCAACTTTTACTGTTACAGCTTTGCAGACTTTGAATGTTATGTCTCTGGTGTAGGAGGCAGGTGCATCCAGGACACTTGTAAAGCAGCCATTGTGTTATCAATACTAAATCCTTTTGCTTAGATTTGGCTTCCAGACTGAAATCTGTATGTAGATTGCTTTGCCAGGCAGGGTGGTTACCTTAATTGTCCTACCTCTCATTCCCATGAATTTTATCTATTATTTTAGACCTCTGTTATACTTTCAAGGAGTATCCTATTTCTCCACATATGAAAATATAGTTAATCTTACTAGTCATGAATTGTTCACTTTATTTGTTGTTTCTCATTGACTGATTCAGTAGTTGGACTTTTTTTATTTTAGCGACATACTTGACAATTTGAAATTTCTCACTACAATGACTATTAAAAAACCACAGCTGTGAAATGTGATTGTGAGCCCCAGTGTGTTGTTTCATGGAGTTTTCTTATTTGCATGTTCTAACCTACTTAACTACCTAGTTTAAAACTTAGCCCCAGCCATGGTTGCTTAATTTTTTTTTATGTTCATGGCAAGAAGAATCATAACCATTGTGCTATATCAGTGCTTCATATTTTATTTTTGTCATGCAGTCCAGTTCTTTATTTTCCAAGAGTGAGAAGCCTTTGAGTGGAGTTTCTTTAGCAGGGAAATAATTAATGACATTTTTTGCCCAGACGGTACACTTCTCAGTGATTTACCATAAAACTGGCTACCTTCCTACACACCAAACTAGAATCTGTAAGTTCATATTAATTTTTATTGTCTCTTTCTAGGGTGATATTTTTAACACGTTCAAAAGGATCACCTTAAGCACCCTGAGTATTCAACAGAAAAGGCATACAAGGACCCAATAGTACAACTGAAGGTATGTAATTACTAGTCTGCAGCTTTCATGAAGAATATTGTATACCATGCATATATTTTACCAGCAGTCCAGCACTCTGGCATTTAATTTAAAAAAGGGGAATTACACAAAAATGAGGAGGTTAGTTAAACAGAAATTAAAAGGCACAGTGACTAGAGCCTGCAAGCTGCATGGAAACTTTTTAAAGCCACCATAATAGAGGCACAACTTAAATGTATACTCCAAATTAAAAAACAAAGCAAGAGACCTAAAAAAGAGTCACCGTGGCTTACCCACAATGTAAAAGAACCAGTGAGGGACAAAAAGGCATCTTTTAAGAAGTGAAAGTCTAATCCTAGTGAGATAAATAGAAAGGAACATAAACACTGTTAAATCAAGTGTAAAAATGTAATAAGAAAAGCATAAAAAGATTTTGAGGAACAGCTAGCCAAAAACTCAAAAAACAATAGCAAAATATTTTTAAATACATTAGAAGCAGGAAGCCTGCTAAAAAACAGTGGGTCCCGTAGACAATTGAGATACAAAAGGAGCAATCCAGGATGATAAACCCGTTGCAGAGAAACTAAACTTAGTCTGTAACAGGAAAAAACATAGAAGAAAACAGTCTGGTAGCACTTTAAAGACTAACAAAACATGTAGATGGTATCATGATATTTCACGGGCACAGCCCACTGCTTCATCAGTCCAGGTCATCTGAAGAAGTGGACTGTTCCCACGAAAGCTCATGATACCATCTACATGTTTTGTTAGTCTATAAAGTGCTACCAAACAATTTGTTCTTTTTAAAGTTTTTTTCCTCTTACTGTATATAAATTTGACAATCTGTCTCAGTCAAGGAAACTAAAATCTCTGGTAGAAAAATCTGTTTTACCTACTCTCTTTTCTCCTCTCCTATTTTATATGCAGTGAGATGAGAAATCTTGGACTGTTTGGTTTCTAAGATAAATAGTTTTAAATGTTGTTAAAAGACAAAGATCTGAGTTCTGTAAGAAAGGAGCTCTGATACAATCCTGGTTAATAATCAGGTCTCCAATTTAATCTCTGCAGCACTTCCTCCTGTTTATATGAAATCATAAGAAAAACCCCTACGACAGTCGCAGCCTCATCAAGCTGCATTTTGCTGGTAATTTTGGCATTTCCAAAACTTTTAAAAATGTGAATGGGTATGGACATTTGTAAACGAACCATACACCTTACAACAAAAGCCCCCTCCCCCATGTAAGTAAAACTTTGACTTCTAATTTGGTTTAGAAGAAGTAATGACTTATTCAGTTTTCAGACGTTATTTAAGTAACCTGGCGAGGTCCCGATTGTGGACATGAACGAAAAAGAAAGCTCCGCATAGTTTGTCCCAGCTGGAGAGAGCAAGGAAGTCTAGCTATGAGTGTAGCGGGGCAAAAAGCCCCTCGCTGTGTGCCCTGAATCCAGCTGCCAACAGCTGGAGTCAAACGCCACAGAAAGCAGCACCCTCTTCTCTCATAGGCTGAGCGCCAGCGGAGGCCTCCCCCACCCCCCATTGGTGACCAGCCTGGCTGGCTAGGTGAGTGCGGAGAAGACTTTGTGACCTCACAAATGGTACGCCGTCACCTCCCCTGGCCACGCCCACCACGACCCCCTACCTATAAGAGGCCTGGCCTGCGGCGGCCCCCTGTAGAGGAGGCTCCGGCAAGGGAGGCGGAGGAGGAAGCACTCGCACAGCCGAGGAAGTGAAAAGGTCCGGGCTGTCGCCCCTGGCTCTCTGTCCCCGCAGCGTTGAGGAGCGGGGTGTGTGTGGTGTGAACCACTCCTGGGGCGGGGGCAAAGGGCTTCCTGGCAGGCGCGCAGGTGGCAGCGTGTGCCCGGCCGGGCCCACCGCGGTGGGGGTTGAGCGGGGCGTGAGCCAGCTGTTCCCAACCCACCCTGCGACTCAGCGAGTAGCTGACTGTAACACGCCCCTTTGATCGGGCTCTCCCAGCCCGGCAGTGGCTTTTCAGTGCGAGCCCCGCCTTACGGGGAGGGGGTTAGCTCCCCCGCTTCTACTTGGGGGCTGGTCTGCCCGAGCTGTGCGCTGCACCCTGCCCAGCAGAGGCTGCGTTCAGAGGGGTCTAAGACAAGCTGGTGTCCCTGAGAGCTGCTCCTTTGTGCAGTGGCAGGGACCTTGCCGAGCTAAATATTGTAACAGGCGCTCAGGTTTGTGGGTGTGTAAGATCATTTGGAAACAGAGGAATTTGACATCATTTCCAAATCACTGTTTCTCGTTTGTTGTTATAGACCAGAAACCCCCTTTCTTCGGTAGTTAGTGGGGTTGGGATTGAGAAGGGCCAGGTGAAATCAGGTGCCATGGTGATAAATCCTGGAACTAGACACGTCTCAGTAGGTCCCCACTGCGCCACACACAGTACTTACGCCGATGTTTTTCATTGTAGTTGTGAGAGTGCAATTTGTCTTCAGTTGAAGATGCATTCTGTAAAGCCCAGGCTTGTTGTTCCATATGGCCTCAAGACTTTACTGGAAGGAGTGAGCAGAGCTGTTCTCAAAACCAGTCCAAGCAACATCACTGAATTTGCAGCTCTTTACTTCAGAGAGCTAATTGCATTTAGAGAAGGTTTGTTCCTACTTGTATGCTGTGATACTTTTCAGTACATTTGGAAAGCTGTGTTATTTCAGAACGCTAACCAAACTGTCCATCTTGCTTTATATTTTTACTTCCAGAAAATCCTAATTTGGATATAACAGACCTGGTTAGAGAATTTCATTTTACTAGAGGTAAGAAAAGTGTCAAATGTGGCCTCTTAATCTACTAGGTTTTAAAATAACAGTATATTGTGATTACAAATCGGTCAAACCTGTATTGTCATGCACAATCCTCTCTCTGATAATTTGACCATTTTCATTATTAATAATAAAGTACTATGTAGTACCAGTCATCACAAAGTACCTTTATCAAGTATGAGCCTAGTTCTGTGAGCTGCTGAGTGCCTTCTTTTGACTCCTCACAGGCTGGGACTCTATACAGGAATCCCTGCAGATGGGTAGTGGGACTACTGGCTCTCAGTTTAGGGGCTAGTCTCTACACTCCCACAACAATTGTTTTTGGTATTTGAGGTGTCATTTCTGTTTAGCAAAGAATTTCTCTAGCTGAGATTGTAACATGAGTGCATCACAAGGGGCCACATCTCAGTTGTCGGGTACTAGGAAGTATTGCATTAATTATGTCATATCAGAAATTAGTCTGTCAGCTCATCAGTCATCTGCTTGGATCATTTTGAACTGACCATTTGCTCACCCATCAACTCCATTATGATCCAGTCATCTCACCTGTATGCCACCCTTTACCTCAGTATGCTCATCCCTGCCCCTCCCCGTCTAGTCAGTTGCACATGAACCCAGTAGATAAAGGGTGCTTCTCAGAAGCCAAAGGTCTCTTGTCCCTGCCCCTCTGTCATTGTATTGTCATGATGCCATAGGCCTGGAACATGTTTCTGATGCCACAAGTTGTCTTTGTGACATCATAGGCAGAGCTGTGCGGAGAGGAAGGCCTGTCTCTAGCTAAAAGGACTCGAGTTGTTGGAGTAGCTTAGGCTGATGTGCTGTGCGAATAAATTGGTACTGGTTGTATTTGAGAACTGACAAGCCAGGTGATCTAAGGACTTAGGGGCTAGATGCTAGAGTAGGAATTGGCAGATGTGAGTTTTGGACAAGTGGCTTTGCCTCTGTAGCTCTTTCCTCAGCCTGCTTTGTCTATTCACACTAATCTTGTTAAGGAATGGGTATTTTGCTAATCGTGAAGTTGATATAATTTGTATCGACTGCACAGTTAGTCAATATCAGGAGGCTCCCTCTGGGACCACTGTGCCTTTGCATTTTAAATGCCCAGCAGCTCTTACTACATATAAAATGCAGAGGCACTGCAGTCACAGACCAGCGCAAGCGAGGACTACTCAATTCTTGCTCATGCCAGGTCATGCTCATGCCTGGCCACAGGCAGGGGCTGCTCCAGTAGCAGCCTCCCCTGCCTCCCAGCTGCCTCTGATAGAGACAACAGTTGGGGGAGGGGGAGCAGGGGGCACCGCAGAGATATGCAAATGCCTTATACATCTATACTGTACTGGCTGCAACACACTTTTAAGCCAGCTCCCCCCACCATCTGGTCCGGTCACCCCTCCCCTGCTGCTTCTCATACAGAGGCAGCAA